CACTTCAAGAACAGACAGTGGGAGCTTTCTATACATTCAGGCTGCCTACTGTGGGGCGACCGTGTGGTCATCCCAACGGTCCTCCAACAACAGATTCTGCAACGCCTCCATGAAAGTCACCCCGGAGTCAGCAGAATGAAGGCCCTTGCTCGCAGTTTCGTTTGGTGGCCAGGTTTAGATGCAGAGATCGAAGCCTGGGTCGCCAAATGCGAAACCTGCCAGCAGTCCCGACCATCTCCTCCTTCCTCTCCCTCCAGGAGAGGATAAAATTCATGGATAAAATACATGTGGAAATCCCATTGCCAATGAAAATGAAATTAGGATTAGGGTTAGGTCTATTTGATGTCATGGCCGAAAACTAATTCTAGGGATAGATTCTTAATAGTTTCCTAAGGAAAGGGTCAGTTGCGGCTTTCATTTCAAACTTGTTTGTGGCCCAGAATAAAATACATGGGGAAATCCCATTGCCAATGAAAATGAAATTGAGTTTAGAGTTAGGGTTATGTCTACTTGGCATCATGGCCAAAAACTAATGCTAGGGATAATAACAGTTTTCTAAGAAAAGCTTCAGTTTCAGACTTGTTTGTGATCCAAAGTAAAATACATGCGAAAATCCCATTGCCAATGAAAATGAAAGTATGGTTAGGGTTAGGTCTACCCTACCTATAGGTAGATCTAACCCTATAAGTCATAGCCGAAAATGAATGCTAGGGATAGATTTTTAATGGCTTTCTAAGGCAAGTATCAGTGATGGCTTTTCTTTCAAAGTTTTTTGTCGTCCAGAATTAGATACATGGGGAAATCCCCTTGCCATTGAAAATGAAAGTAGGATTAGGATTAAGTCGGTTTGGAGTCATGGCGAAAACTAATGCTAGGGATAGATTCTTAGCGGTTTTCTAAGGAAAGCTCAGATAAACCTTTTTTTCAGATTTGTTTGTGGTCCAGAATAAAATACTTGGGAAAGCTGCATTGCCATTTCAAATGAAACTAGGGCTAGTGTTAGAGTTGAAGTTAGGTTTAGCGTTAGGTCTACTTGGAGTTAGGACGGAAAAATAATGCTAGGGATAGATTTAAGAATTTTTCTTAATAAATTGATATTTGCACATGTAAAACAGGCGGCCACTCCTGCAGTATTTTTCATCTGCACTGAATTAAAAGAATCTCTAAATTAATTATTCAGGTGTCATAAGTTTTATAGTCATTCCATTTTTTGGTTACTATTTCTTCAGCAAAGGTTAGTGATTTCATCTTATATTTTTCAAAAAGAGACGTGTTTAATTTTGTATAATTCACTCCTCCAACACAATATTTTGAATGAAAGTTCTTCAATCTTTAGCTATATAGTAATGATATTTTTGAAATTATGAAGTGATGTGGGGAATTTGCTCTTATTATTACTGTCTGTATGGCAGCTCAATTTCTATGGAATGTATTTGATTAAACAAACTGCATTTTTAATAGGACTGATTATTCTTATTTCAAATGATACAAATGCTTAAATCTAGGCTTCCTTGTTAATTTATGTATGTTCACTTCTGAATGGGGAGGGAAAAAGCTGCAATGGAATAATAGATATAGCCAATATTGTACTATATACATAATACTTTGCTAATTTTCTATTTTGTTTTGCTTTTTTCCCTAGACATTGTCTTTGGGATATATGACAGGCACCATTGCTAGGTACTGTACATTGGGAGTAAATGAGAGTGATAAGTGTACAATGGGGATAAGCAAGCTGGATTTTCTCAAAAGATAATGGCACAGTGTTGAATAATTATTACTAGAAAATGGATAATAGTCATAGGCTTGGCAAATAAAGCCTCTTATTTCCTTAAAAGTACCAACAAGCTCTTTTTTCATTTTTTGTTATAAATACATCATTGCCATCAGTTATTGGGCATTATATTAAGATACTTTATAATGGTTTTGTTATTAGCTGTTGGATGGCTAAGGCCTCTTTTAATATAAAAATAAAGCAGATTTCCTTCCTGTGTAAGATTTTGTACTAAAAGCATTATAGAATTTGCATCTGGAAACATTCTGAAGAATGATTGAATGGCTTTATTTAAGAGACTGTTGTGAACGTTTTAAAATAACTGTTGAAAAATAGCACAGTATCATTTCTGGAAAAGTTCTGCCTTAACTTGAGTAATATGTTTCTTAGTAAGGTGAGATTCGAATGAGTCACATGGTGCATAAGAATATCTTGAACGTTTCTTCAGAAACTATAGTGTCTTAGATTGATGTGGAGAATATTTAGGTCATCTGTTTATCCTACAGTAGTGCCAGTAATTGATACCAATTGGTAGTTTTTATTTTTAAGAAGTATACTGGCTTGGATTGGAAATATCTACCAGTTTTGCAGTCAGAGAGGCCTTTCTCAATATCCATTGAAGATTGCAAGTAGAAGTTTGGATATCCTTATTATGATCACTATCTATGTGTCTTATAAGAATTTTTATAATCTTTGTAAATCTTATATAATAATAAAATTGATTAATGATATCTTTTTTAAATAAAGTTTTTTTATTTTTTCATTTTCATAACAAATAACCATATGTATACTATTACATAACCAACATTATATTATATTGTTAAATGTTTACATCAATTCGTCTTACCATCAACTCCCAAAAACAATTATTGGCTCTTCTGCTCTTCATACACTGTATTTGTACCCTATCCACCAGTATCTTCTCCCTCTCTCCTCCTCCTCCCTCCCTCTTTCTTCCCTCTGTCGTCCTTCTCTTCTGTACTTCTCCTTCCTCTCTCCTTCTCCTCTCTCCCCTTTCCACTCCTTTCTCTCCTTCTCTTCCCCCCCCCGCCCTCTCTCCTATCCTTCTCTTCTTCCCTTACCTCTCCCCTCTACTTCGCACTCTTCATTTCATTTACTTGGTGCATTTCAGCCTCTGAGAGAGCTCAATTTTATGTTGATGGTATTTATAATTCCATTTCAATATACATATTTAAAAGAAAAAAGGTATACATATATAGTAATTATATTTTTCACACACCAGCCTATTTTTGGCCAAGATGTAGATCTGGTTACGATTCCCAGCTATTCTCATCATATTTAGATAGTTATGCATCCTTACATGCCCCAAATTTGTAGTTCTGTCTTTATAATCTCAATAATTTTCCATTATAAGTATATTTCATGTTCCCCCTCTATTTTTCTATATCTTATCTTACCCTTAATTATCTTTAAATAACAATCCTTACTGTTCAATGTTCATTACAATTCCATTAATCTACTATGTAAAATAAGAAGCGGTACACACCTCACTTTGTTCATCATCTTATGTGTCCATATTTCAGATATTTTAACCTTTATTTAATTATCTTTCCATTATCATATTCAATCAGTTAGCAAGTCAGTTTAATTATCATATACAGGAGTAAACCACATATCTCAACTTTGTATTTCCCATATAACAATTTCTAATTGTCTGATTTTTTTCCTAGTAAGTCTTTTGTCCCACTTCTCTATTCCTGTCTTCTCCCTTTTCTTTGTTTTGACATGTTCACCCACTTCAATTTTCCCCAAGCCATTGTCAAATCCAGTGAAATATTTTGTATTTTCCTTTGTTGGGGCATAACCGCCTTCTTCAATTTTCCCTATGCCACTGTCAAACTCAGTGAGATCTTTTGTCTGCTTTTTATTTTCCACCTTCTACCCCTTCACCATCCCCCCTCTTCTTCCTTCACTTCTTCACTTCCCGCTTCTCCTCAGTAGCTATCTTCAAAATTCTATTTAGACTTGATTTTAATGATTTATGCATATTTTTTATAATTTCACATAGTTCTTCTAATTCCCAC